AGGTGACAATTTATGGGGGACATAATAGAGATTTATAAAATCATGAATGATATAGAAAAAATGAATAGGGATGTGTTATTTACCCTTTCACAAAACACAAGGGTCACCTGATGAAATTAATAGGCAGCAGGTTTAAAACAATCATAAGGAAGTGCTTCTTCAAACAACGCAGTCAACCTGTGGAACTTGTTGCTTGGGGACACTGTGAAGGCCTAAAGTATAGATAAAAGATTGAGATAAATTCATGGAGGATAGGTCCATCAATGGCTATTAATCAAGGTGGTCAGGGTCACAACCTATGCTCTTGGTGTTCCGAAACCTTCAACTGCCAGAAACTGGGACTGGATTACAGGATTGATCAGTCAAAATTTCCCTCTTCTGTTTGTTCCTCTGAAGCATCTAGCACGAGCTTGTTGGAAGACAGGCTACTGGGTTAGATGGACTATTGGTCTGATCCAGTATGGTCATTTTTATCCCAGGTGAATGCGCTAATCTCTGGTCTCAAAGTTATAAGGTGGGCACTAACATCTTCCTCCTCCTCCTCCAGCTGGATTTTGAATGGAACCTGATCCAGTAGTGGGCTCTGAGCTTGCCTACCTGATTGAGCACTGCACATGAGATAGGTATTCACTGCCTATCTTCCCTTGGTTCATGGATCTTTCTGGGCTCAGGTGGGAGACTGGCATCCTGTCACCTAGAGTGACACTGCAGAGCAAATGCCCAGAGGCAGAAACTCTTACCCTGAAAACTTAGACTCTGAGTGAGTTTTGGCACCTACAGCGTTCAGCAGGAGTTGTGGAGATCGCAGTGGAGGCTAAAACTAGGATCTTAGACATCTAAACCCAAGACCTGGCACCTAAGTCTGGGCTTTAGGCATCAAATACCTTTGTGGATAAGAACTAAAGTAACTAACAATAGCATTTACTTTTAAGGCTACCTCTACGCTACATGCCACTTTTGGCAGCTCAGAGGGTATGTCACAGTGAAAAAAGCAAGCTGTGTCCACAGTGCATGGACTGTTACTGTGTGTAGCTGCAGGTGTCAGTGAAAGGCTCTGGGAGGGGGAAACTCTGAGCCTTTCCCCATTGCCTCAGTCCTTATCTGTGGCACGGAGGACTGCAGCGGAGCCTTTCCCAGCTGCCAGAGTGCTGGAGCGTCCTGCTGTCTCCCAGCTGATGGAACCTTTTGCTGCAGCAGGGAAAGGCTCCATCAGCTGGGAGACACCAGGACACTCCACAGTTAATAGCATGCTAGACAGGAAGGCATGGCTTGGGTGAGTAGAAAGCTGAGTAGGGTATATGCTTGCGTACATACCCACACCCATCAGGCATGTCTGTAGTAAGCCATGCCTCACTATGTAGACTGCTACTTAAACCCGTGCCGGGGTGCTACCCAAGTACATACCCCACCGAAAGACGTGCAGTGTAGACGTAGGCTGAGGCTCTGGTCCTGCAATTATTCAAGTCAAGGCAAAGCTCCCACTGATTTTAGTGGTGCAGGAACAGACCTTAAGTGAAAACGAAGGTTCTGATTATGCCAACGCTTTTTTGCACAAGCTTAACTTTAGGTAGGTATGAGGAGTCCCATTGAAATCAAACAAACTATTCATGTGCATAAAGTTAAACATATGCATATTTTCAGGATTGGGATGCTCATCAAGATGTAGTTATTTTTAATGCGTCTATTTCTATTCAATGGAAAGGTAGATCAATTTTTAAAGTCCTGCTTGTTTTCGAAACCTGTCAAGATGATCAGAAACATTTCTTTTCACCACAACTTGAAAAAAATATGAAAATATCTTTTGTAACAGGCTTGGGCCAAATTCTACTCCTATTTATTAGTATGATGGCTTTCAGATGTGAATTTCTTGAAAAGAGGGAGAGTGCAGAATGTACATAGCCCATTAAAGATATTTGTTTCTAGTAATGAGGCTTTTATAGAGTATGTATGCTGTATAAAAAACGAGGAAAAAAACTTTATAAACCCTCTAAGTACCTTTAGTATGATTGTTCTTCTATTTTAACAATTAACAGTATAAGACTTACTCAAAATATAATGTTGTTCAAAAAGGCTTTTACAGATGTGTCCACATTCCATTTATGTTTAGTAGGGACTGTTTCGGTCTTGTCACTGTACATATGACACTCTCTCTTTATCCTTTAAAAAAACCTTTTATTAATGAAATTGTGTGTGCTTAGTTCTTAATTATGTTATCATTCTTGAGTTTTCTAACATGTCTAAGGTCAGCATTATTTCACTTTCAGGATCTCTCTACGACTTACTAATGGTTGCAAGATAATACTTTAAATGCACTTTATGGGAAATGATCTGGCTGTCCTTCATATCTTTGAATGAAATCTAGCCTGGTTGTTGTTTTTTAAATTATACTGTTTAAGTACAATAAATTATGCAGGTTTCCTGCTATTAAAATGCAAAGCGTATTTGCAAGAGGAAATCGGAAATCATAAGAAAGCTTTTAGTAGCTTTATTGCTAATCATTATTTATCTCCCGACACAAAAAAGGGAGAAATTCTCTTCAGTGTGCAAGGAGAAAAAGGAGAGCAAGTTAAACTGCAAAGGAGTGCACCTCCAGAATTGTATCCCTTTTAAGATGTGCTCAAATGTGTGGTGGCAGACAAAAATCAACCCTGACATCTGTTGGTTGACCATGATTCTGGTGACACCATGAAAGCAAAAGGATATGGCATATATAAATATGGGAGAGGAGAGTTAAACTTCCAGACTAGTTGCATAGATAGAATCATAGAAATGTAGAGCTGGAAGGGACCTCAAGAAGTCATCAAGTCTTGCCCTCTGCGCTGAGGTAGGACCAAGTAAACCTAGAGCATCCCTGACAGGTGTTTATCCAACCTGTTCTTAAAAACCTGCAGTGATGGGGATTCTCCAATCTCCCTTGGAAGACTATTCCAGAGTTAACTACCTTTATAGTTGGAAAGTTTTTCCTAATATCTAATCTAGTTCTTCCATGCTGCAGATTAAACCCATTACTTCTTGTTTTACCTTCCATGGACGTAGAGAACAATTGATCACCATCCTCTTTATACCGGCGTTTAACATATTTGAAGACTTAACAGGTCCTCCCTTCAGTCTCCTTTTCTTGGGATTAAACAGTCCCAGTTTTTTATAGTCTTTCCTCATAGGTCAGGTTTTCTAAATGCTTTGTCATTTTTTGTTGCTGACATCTGGACTCTCTTCAGTTTGTCCACACCTTTCCTAAAGTATGGTGGCCAGAATTGGACACTGCACCAGTGGAGGCCTCACTAGTCCTGAGTAGAGCGGGAGAATTTCTTCCTGTGTCTTACATACAACACTCCTATTAATATACCCCATGACTTTATCCCTTTTTGCCGCTGCATTACATTCTTGGACATCATCTTACAACATCAGCAGGACGACAGCAGCTGCAGCTTCAGACAGAACATATTTAAGTATCTTTTCTTTTTTATAAAACAATTTTTGGGCAGAAAGTGCCAAATACATTTTTTTTACACAAATGCATTACGGAAAATCCTTGCTGTCACTGAATGAACCACAAAAGGTTGTCTTCCACCATATCCATAGGACGTTTTGGGCCTGATCTTGCCAAATTGTCTCACTGACATCACAAATGAGGATTGGCAGCATCTGGCCCAAAGTTTGCCAGGGCAGGGTAGTGTTGGCAAAGGGAAGTGCAATTTATACCCCCCTGCACTAACTTTGCTGAATCTCACTGAATTCGTGCAACGTTTAAAGCCAAACTCTTCTTTCAGCTAACGTGTACAGGTGGCTCTACTTGCGTGCACTTTGGCTCTTTTCTAATACAATTTTTATTTTTAAAATAAGTGTAGTAACTCTGACCTTGGCATTTGCACCTGCTGCAGCTATGGTACAGCAGCCTCGAATGCTGTTTTGGGGAAAGAAATAGCCCATGAGAGGAGCTCAGAATCTGCACCAAGGGGGTAGTTGGAAGCTGGTTAGAGAAGAAGGTGAAAAGAGACTCTGCTGGGGTGAAAAGGAGCTTGACCAGAGGAAGTTGCATTAATAGAAGCTGGACCATGAAGGGCCATGTGTAAGGGGTCTGGTTGCAAGGGGCACAGAGCCTATGACCAGTGAGGTTAACCACTGGGATGCTGACAGAGGGAAATACAATGGGTGTGGCTCTCCAGGTGAGGGGCTGTAGTTCACAGGTGGACCTGTTTGATAAACATGTGGTCATCGCAGGGTAAAAGCAAAGGAGCATCACAAACCAGATAAAAGTGGAAGCAGGACAGTAGGGGTGAAGCTGGACTTTGTAGCCAGGGAGAGAAGGAGTTGATTCCCCTAGGGTGACACAATGTTTTAGAAAAAACTTTTTATAATGCTGGTAATTTATAGTTTATTTTCCTAAGCAAGAACATTATATTATTCTATTATGTATACATTATTGTTCCTGCCTAAATTCTGGGTTTTTCCTTTATAAAGTTTAAAATTATCTCCATTGTATTGGTTTGCCTCTGCCTCCCCCCACAGTAGGCATAGCCCCTAGCTGAGGCCTGGGTCACTCCATATCCAGGATGAGGGTCTGAAAACAACATTCCTGGCTTTTGGGACCACACGGTCACTGTACTCACAGTTGATAGGCACAGGGAGCCCATAGAATGGAGCCCAACTGGATCTGTTTTTTTTTGGGGGGGGGGGGGGGGAGGGAAGGAAATTGTTTTATCTTATTTTTTTCATAGGAGAGAGGTATGTGGAGACTTTTTGCCCATAACACTTACACGACTGAGGGTGATTCAACATTCACAGCACCCACATTCTATCATAAATAATGTAAATTTGTGAGACCTACCCAGAATTTCCCATGAACCTAAAACCTATTACCATGGAGATAAAGGAAAAGCCATATGACCAAAGCAGTATGGCGAGCCCCAAATGTTCAGAAACCACACATCAGGCCCACCCAAAATCATGAGATTGACTTAAAAAACATTCGCAAAAAGAAAAGGAGTACTTGTGGCACCTTAGAGACTAACCATTTTATTTGAGCATAAGCTTTCGTGAGCTACAGCTCACTTCATCGGATGCACACTGTGGAAAGTTTAGAAGATCTTATTATATACACACAAAGCATGAAAAAATACCTCCTCCCACCCCACTCTTCTGCTGGTAATAGCTTATCTAAAGTGATCACTCTCCTTACAATGTGTATGATAATCAAGGCGGGCCATTTCCAGCACAAATCCAGGGTTTAACAAGAACGTTGGGGGGGGGGAGCGGGGGGTTAGGAAAAAACAAGGGGAAATAGGCTACCTTGCATAATGACTAAGCCACTCCCAGTCTCTATTCAAGCCTAAGTTAATTGTATCCAATTTGCAAATGAATTCCAATTCAGCAGTTTCTCGCTGGAGTCTGGATTTGAAGTTTTTTTGTTGTAAAATAGCGACTTTCATGTCTGTAATCGCATGACCAGAGAGATTGAAGTGTTCTCCGACTGGTTTATGAATGTTATAATTCTTGACATCTGATTTGTGTCCATTTACTCTTTTACGTAGAGACTGTCCAGTTTGACCAATGTACATGGCAGAGGGGCATTGCTGGCACATGATGGCATATATCACATTGGTGGATGTGCAGGTGAACGAGCCTCTGATAGTGTGGCTGATGTGATTAGGCCCTGTGATGGTGTCCCCTGAATAGATATGTGGGCACAGTTGGCAACGGGCTTTGTTGCAAGGATAGACTCCTGGGTTAGTGGTTCTGTTGTGTGGTACGTGGTTGCTGGTGAGTATTTGCTTCAGATTGGGGGGCTGTCTGTAGGCAAGGACTGGCCTGTCTTCCAGGATTTGTGAGAGTGTTGGGTCATCCTTCAGGATAGGTTGTAGATCCTTAATAACGCGTTGGAGGGGTTTTAGTTGGGGGCTGAAGGTGACGGCTAGTGGCATTCTGTTATTTTCTTTGTTAGGCCTGTCCTGTAGTAGGTGACTTCTGGGAACTCTTCTGGCTTTATCAATCTGTTTCTTCACTTCCGCAGGTGGGTACTGTAGTTGTAAGAATGCTTGATAGAGATCTTGTAGGTGTCTGTCTCTGTCTGAGGCGTTGGAGCAAATGCGGTTGTATCGCAGAGCTTGGCTGTAGACGATGGATCGTGTGGTGTGGTCAGGCTGAAAGCTGGAGGCATGTAAGTAGGAATAGCGGTCAGTAGGTTTCCGGTATAGGGTGGTGTTTATGTGACCATCGTTTATTAGCACTGTAGTGTCCAGGAAGTGGATCTCTTGTGTGGACTGGACCAGGCTGAGGTTGATGGTGGGATGGAAATTGTTGAAATCATGGTGGAATTCCTCAAGGGCTTCTTTTCCATGGGTCCAGATGATGAAGATGGCATCAATATAGCGCAAGTAGAGTAGGGGCGTTAGGGGACGAGAGCTGAGGAAGCGTTGTTCTAAATCAGCCATAAAAATGTTGGCATACTGTGGGGCCATGCGGGTACCCATAGCAGTGCCGCTGATCTGAAGGTATACATTGTCCCCAAATGTAAAATAATTATGGGTAAGGACAAAGTCACAAAGTTCAGCCATCAGGTTAGCCGTGACATTATCGGGGATAGTGTTCTTGACGGCTTGTAGTCCATCTTCGTGTGGAATGTTGGTGTAGAGGGTTTCTACATCCATAGTGGCCAAGATGGTGTTACCAGGAAGATCACCAATGGATTGTAGTTTCCTCAGGAAGACAGTGGTGTCTCAAAGGTAGCTGGGAGTGCTGATAGCGTAGGGCCTGAGGAGGGAGTCTACATAGCCAGACAATCCTGCTGTCAGGTTGCCAATGCCTGAGATGATGGGGCGCCCAGGATTTCCAGTGATTTGCCAACCCAGCCTGGCCGTTTTTCCTCTAAGAAGGGGAGGAATGATGATCTTCCCTTGGAGAGACAGGCTGCATGGTCAGAGGTAGGGCTCTGCTCCCCCGCCTCTGAAATGCAGCCAGGTCTGGGGAGGAGCATTGCCACTTCCCAACGGGAAGTGGAGAGGACTCTCCGGAGGGCAGAATCTTGGGTAGCAGATAGAATATCCCAGGTCGGGGTTCCAAGGGTGTGTCTGTGCAGATTTGATCTTGTGCTTTTTCAGGGAGTTTCTTGAGCAAATGCTGTAGTTGCTTTTGGTAACTCTCAGTAGGATCAGAGGGTAATGGCTTGTAGAAAGTGGTGTTGGAGAGCTGCCGAGCAGCCTCTTGTTCATATTCCGACCTATTCATGATGACAGCAGCACCTCCTTTGTCAGCCTTTTTGATTATGATGTCAGAGTTGTTTCTGAGGCTGTGGATGGCATTGTGTTCCGCATGGCTGAGGTTATGGGGCAAGTGATGCTGCTTTTCCACAATTTCAGCCCGTGCACGTCGGCGGAAGCACTGTATGTAGAAGTCCAGTCTGCTGTCTCAACCTTCAGGAGGAGTCCACCTAGAATCCTTCTTTTTGCAGTGTTGGTAGGGAGGTCTCTGTGGATTAGTAGGAGATTTAAAAAAAATAATAAATTCAGAGTTCTTTTTATTGGCCTCCCGTTGTGGAGTTTTCGTCTTTAGCCAGGAGGACTTTTTGTTTTTAAAAAATGAAAGTGGAGGCTCATACTGACTCCAGGAGCTGAGGGTTTAAGGCAAACAAATATCACAAGACTTGTGAGAGAAGGAAGACTTGTGGCAAGGCTGCAGGGCCTTTACTCCCTGACAGCCTCTCAGCCCGGGTACCAGGAACGCAGCCCCCCCCCCCCCCGGCTATGCAGAGGGCTCTGGCTAGCGCCTGGGTGCGCTTCGCCCCGGGGTGCCAAGTGGAGCCCCAGGACAATGGCGCTGGGTGCAGGGCAAACACGTTGCAACTTGCTTTGCACCTCCCCTCCCTTCTGAGCCGCGCCGCGCAACGCGAGCAGGAAGTCTGCCCCCTCTCGCGCTCCGTCGTGCGTTCCAAGGCGCTGGGCGTGGCGGAAGACTCCCGCCGGCGCTCCGTTGTCATACACAAAGGGACTACGCCTCCCAGACGGGCGCCGCGCGGCGGCCTCAAGCCACCATCTTGGAAGCTGGCCCGCCCCTTGTCTCGCGCAACGGCCGCGAGTACGTCGTGACGTCTGAAGCGGGCCGTGGGCAGGGCGTCGATGAGGGGCAACTACAATTCCCACACGGCCCCGCGCGGCCGCGCATGCGAGCTGCTGTTTTGCCGCCATCTTGGCTGGACGGAGCTGCCTGCCGCCGCCACTAAACAAACCTGAAGCCACCCGGGCTCTGCCGCTGAGGAGCCTTTAGATGTTCCCGGAACGGCCGGGCAGGTGGGTCCCCTCCCCGCGGGAGCTGGGGCGGGGGCGGGAGGGCGACTGGCCCCTCCGTGGGCTGGTTGGGTGCTGTGTCCACGTCAGTGAAAGGCGCAGGAGTGGGCAGCTCCCGCTTCCCCCCGCCCGGCTGGCGGAGGGCGACGCGTCCGCCCACCGGGGTGAGCGGGAGGCTTCCGTCCGGCCCCCTGGCTGTGGCTGAGGGAGCTGTGGGGACCCCCCCCCCACAAACACACACAACACCTCCTGGCTGTGGCTGTGGGGACCCCCCCCACAAACACACACAACACCTCCTGGCTGTGGCTGAGGGAGCCGTGCACGCCCCCCCCACACACACACAACACCTCCTGGCTGTGGCTGTGGGGACCCCCCCCCACACACACAACACCTCCTGGCTGTGGCTGTGGGGACCCCCCCCCACAAACACACACAACACCTCCTGGCTGTGGCTGTGGGGACCCCCCCCCCCACACACAACACCTCCTGGCTGTGGCTGAGGGAGCTGTGGGGACCCCCCCCACACACACACACAACACCTCCTGGCTGTGGCTGAGGGAGCCGTGCACGCCCCACACACACACACAACACCCCCTGGCTGTGGCTGTGGGGACCCCCCCCACAAACACACACAACACCTCCTGGCTGTGGCTGAGGGAGCCGTGCACGCCCACACACACACACACACAACACCCCCTGGCTGTGGCTGAGGGAGCTGTGGGGACCCCCCCACACACACACACACACCACCTCCTGGCTGTGGCTGAGGGAGCTGTGCACGCCCCCACACACACACACACACAACACCCCCTGGCTGTGGCTGAGGGAGCTGTGGGGACCCCCCCCACACACACACACAACACCCCCTGGCTGTGGCTGAGGGAGCTGTGGGGTCCCCCCCCCCACACACACACACCATCTCCTGGCTGTGGCTGAGGGAGCTGTGGGGACCCCCCACACACACACACACCATCTCCAGGCTGTGGCTGAGGGAGCTGTGGGGACCCCCCCCCACACACACACACCACCTCCTGGTTGTGGCTGAGGGAGCTGTGGGGGACCCCCCCCGACACACACACCACCCCCTGGCTGTGGCTGAGGGAGCTGTGGGGACCCCCCCCACACACACACAACACTCCCTGGCTGTGGCTGAGGGAGCCGTGCACCCCCCCCCACACACACACAACACCCCTGGCTTGGCTGAGGGAGCTGGGCATCCCTCTCCCCTCCATGTGTGCACACACACAACACCCCCTGGGCTGTGGCTGAGGAAGGAGGGAGTTGTGCCCCCCCACACACACACAGCACCCCCCCCAGCCAGCTGAAAGAAGAGGGGGCGATAGTGTATATCTCCCCCCACGCCGTGGGAGCTGTGTGCTCCACCCCTCCCCCACAAAGCCTGCCCCCCTCGGGCTGAGGAAAGCAGGGGCAGCTCTGTCAGCTGGGGGTTGAAGGAGCTGTTCCTGTCCCTTTCCCCAAGTTTATGGAGGCTAGAGGAAGCATTTCACTTCCTCCATCTTGGGGGGTTGTATTGGGGGTCACTAAGCTCCTGCCCGCCCATTGACCATCACCTCTTGTTGTTTGTGTATGGGATCATTTGTTTTCACTGAGACCAGGACAATTACAGGGTAGTGATAATGGGTACAATGAATTTGGGAGTAGGGGTAGGTGCATCCTGGGTCTGCTGTCACAGTTTCCTGTGCGTGCTCTGCCAGATCATCTCGTGCAAAGTGTATGATGCGATCGATGCTTTGTTTTTGTTCACGTTGCTAAACACAGAACCATAATCACTGCTCTGTGGCGCTTCAGTCTAACGGCCCAAGTGCAGTACAAGTATTGGCATGGTCTTGCACAAGTCTATTAACCTGTCTGCCTCTGGCGAGTAATTTTTTTAGTGGGTGGATAAAATCATTTTAATGAGTGGTTTTCATCGTTGTCAGGATGTGGTTGGACAAGTTAGATACTGTGCCTGTAGTGTGCCTGAACAAGTACATTTTCATGATGTTTTTGCCAGTGTGCAACATAACAGACAAATGCCAAATATATTCCCATGGATGGTAGAGTCACTGTAGCTGGAAGACTTCCTATAATAGATGCTCTGTGCGTAAGGAGAGGGAGGGGACTTTTACATCAATTCAGAGATAGTTCCAGATATAAGAGAGAGCATGGCATGAAAGAAGATCTGAGAAAGATATAGGCATCTGCCGGGAGAGAGGCTAGGATGACCCTCAGGTGTATCTACACTAAAGAGACTATACTAACATAGTTACTCTGGTAGAGCCATACTGGCATAGCCCCACAATGTAGATGCAACCTACACTGACAGAAGAGGTTTTTCTGTCAGTATAAGAACATCACTTCTCTGAACATTAGCTCCCTCCGTGGAAGCACTCTTCCATCGATATAGCTTTGTCTGCCTGGGGGTTATGTTGGCATAGCTACAGTGCTCAGTGGTGTGGTTTATTCACACCTCTGACTGACATAGCTATCCAGTATAATTTTCAAGTGTAGACCTAGCCTGAGGAAATGGCTATAGGAAGTCAATGTCTGGAGTGAAGTTGCAGAATTCTTTTATAGTGAAATGGCAAGCCTTTTGCAGGAGTTCAGGCAGGGGAATACGTGGATGGAAAGGAAGATGACCTTGGTGAAGTTCTGAGCAGGCTGGAGGAGGGGAGAGATTGCACTAATCAAATTCTAAGATGTAGAGCATGGACTTTTACTTACAGTATTTGTATTCTTTTTCAGGGAGGTTGAGCTCTGTGGGAGCACAAACGCAGGGAAAGAATGCCTGTTGTGTGGCCAACCCTTCTGGATCTCAGCAGGGATGAATGCAAGAGGATTCTTCGCAAACTGGGTACAATTTGTGGCTCTCTGCTTCCTCCATCCGCCTGGCTGCTGGGACTTTGTGTATCTATCTCTGTTTAAAGAATTGCCAGCCCACTGTCTTCATTAAACACTTTCATATGTTTGCAATCAACATATAAGATACAGAAAGTGATCAGTAGGTGTCAGTGTTTGTTTTCACAGCTCTTGCTTTGATAGTAGTTGGTAGGGGTGGATGCTCTTTATGGATTCAATGAATAGAGCTGGTTTTAAACCTAATTTCATAGAATCATTTTGGTTGGATGGTACCTACACTGCAAATTATGATGTTTTCATGCACATTAATGTGTAATAGGAGACATTTCTGTCAATAGTGAGTAACTCCTCAGTTTGCTATGTCTGATTAATTTCCTACCTCCTTTTTTGGTTTTATATAGAGAAAACATATGAAGGTCAAAATGAATCTTGCAATGCTACCCATGTTTAGTTGTCACAGTGGTTAGAGTTACATCAGTAAAACTACTGTAATGCAGATTCTTAATGAAAGAAAATGTCCCGCAATACAATATTTCCAGTCTTCAATTACAGAAGGACAGGAACTGGCTGGGAGAGGTGAAAACAATCTCAATTAGTTTAATGGTCATAACAATAGGAGCCTCTTGAATTGCTGTAGCCATGCGTTGAATTCTGGATGCTTTGCCCAAATGAAAAGGGCTATCTGTAAGAAAGTTTCTGGGTATTATATCTGTAATAACATGCATATGTAGTAAGGCAATTATACTTAATAGTTTTTAATAGCATTTTAATATTGGAAGAAGAAAAATCTTAGTTTTCTTTTTAGACTTTCATTTAGGCAACATAGTCTAGTGGTTGAACACAGTAGAGGGAGTTGATATTTGATATTTGAGACTTTTCTTCTGACTTCCTACGTAACCTTGGGCAAATCACTTAACCTCTCTGGGCTTTGTTTTATCTATCTATAAAAAAAGTGAAGTACTGTACTACGTATCTTGCATCAGAGGCATGAAGATTAATGTTGTAAAGTTCTTTGAGGTCTTCAGATTATGCTATAAAACTATTATTATTAGAGAGAGAAAAGGGTGAAACTATTTTCTCTCATCTTGCTCGGTTATCGTGGGGAGGGGGTTTTGTTTTTAAGAGACAGCACATTGAGTATAGAATCTGAACCATTATTTTTATTATTTAAAAATGTATTACTTGTATTGTGGTAGCACCTAGAGGCCCTAAATGAGATTTCAGGTGTACAGACAGAGACAGAGGCTTATGCTATCTGAAAGAACTTTGTCTAAATAGACAAGATAGACAAGGGAGAGGAAATGGAAGCACAGAGAGGTGAAGAGACTTGCCCTGTCTCAAGGTCACAAAGCAGGTCAGTGGTAGAGCAATGCATATATCCCATGTTTCCTAACTTCCAGTCCAGTGCTGTATCCATTAGACCACTCTACAAGGCTCAGATACTCCATAGTAAATTAAACGCCATAGCAGATTTTAGAAAAATGTGTCAATACTTAAATCATATCTTAGTGTGATATCTAGCACTGCCCTGGGATCTTTGCAGTACATAGCTGAGGAAGCATGAAATATGGGATGATGTGGCAGCCTTAAATTTGAATTTGCTTGTTTTCATTTGTTTGTTAAACCTAATTTTATACCTTATTTCGGCCATTTAACTGGATTTCCCTTGACTGAATAGAGACTGCACCAGTTACAATTTGTCTGTACTACTTAGGGATAGGAGTGAGGAAGGTGGTGCCATAAGAATGGCCATACTGGGTCAGACCAAAGGTCCATCCAGCCCAGTATCTTGTCTTCCAACAGTGGCCATGATATTTTCTGTCTTATTATCTATCCCTTTCTTAATGATTCCCAACATTCTGTTCGCTTTTTTGACAGCCGCTGCCCATTGAGTGGATGTTTTCAGAGAACTATCCACAATGACTCCAAA